CATAAGGTACCTGATAGTCGGGTTAGGGCTCCTATCCCCATTTCACAGATGGGGAAAGCGAGATGGAGGTTGCGAGCTGCTGAAAGGAGGGAAGGCAGGCTGCAGTGCCGCCCGAAGCACTGCTCTGCACTTGACTTTTGACTGCTGAAGGATCCTTTCCCGTGAGCTCTCCTTGGGCTGAGCGGACCCCCTGCCTTTGTAGAGAGACCCAGCGCATCACTGCGAGCGGCTCCTCAGGATTTTTTACTTCAGTGGCTTCTTTTTTTATACATGTGGGTATATATATATATGATGTGCTTTTAAAAAGGGAAAGGAAAGCAGTCAAAAGCAGAGGCCTCAGACCTGCAAGCTGTTGTTCCCATGACTTCGGGGAAGAAATTCAGAAGTACATAATGAGAGTTTGGGAGCTCCGTTCCCACTGACTTTCAAAATCTTCCCTTCACGTCTGTGAGCTAGTCCTCTTAAACTCAGTTGGACTACTTTGCAGACGAACGTTAGCAGGCTCAGGGCCTAATGCTTCTCATGATTCCACTGCTCCCTTCTAGAGCTGCCCTGACAAAAATATAAGCAGAACAAGTTTTGAAGGGAGAAGTAATTTCTCTTTTTTTTTTTTTTTTTTTTTAACCAACTGACACAGTTGAAAACAGCAAGCTTTTGGGCTCAAAAAAGCTTAGACCATCATGGCTACGAAAACTACTGCTACTCAGAAAATATGTAATTCTGGAGCTCCTTAGCGAAAAAGTAGTGCAAAGCAACATGTAAGTAATCACATAGCTAATATTATGCATTTATGTTATTATATTTTCCTCGGATATGAAGTTTGGTATTGCTAAGGAAACTGATTCTAGTTTTTTAAAACAAGTTCTCAGTGAAAATTAGCCAGATGAAAAAACTTCAGTTCGTAAAACCTTTCTTGTTAAAAAGGAGGAAATATAAATGATTTGCAGTGTATTTACATTTTTGCTCTTATTTTATTAAAATTACCGTGAGTGAAATTTTCAAAAAGTGTCCCTTTCAGCTGAAAAGAATGATAGGAAATGTCTTCTAATTTTTTTTTCAGAAGGTTGTGTGCTTGCGAAAAAGGGGCTTTGCAGTAGAAATAGCAATGAAAGCAGTGAAGAAAAATATAAAATTATGATGTTGCTGATACCACTTCTCTGCACTTAGATTATGTATAGTTTTGCCCTAAAATAATTCTAGTTATTATTTTTCACTCATTTTTCCAACCGTAATATAAGAATAAGATATAGGAGATAGTATGTCATTCTGTTTAACAGGACATGGTGTTCTCTTCTATAAGTCACCCTATTGTCCTTTCAGATGTCATTCCTAAGGTTTCATTAAGATTTTTTATGAAAGTGAAATTTTTACATCCCCTAATATTTAGTACTTGCTCTCAGATTCCACACTTAATGCACATAGGCCCCGATCCTGTACAGAGCAAAATGCATATTATCATGTGTAAGCGCACTGAGTAGTTCTCTTCATTATTATGCTCTTGTATTTCAGACTTAAGAAGCTAATACTGATATTACACAAGCGTTATTCTCAGTATTACTTAGACTGCATGAAACATAAACCTAATGTAATAGTCTTGATTTGCATCTTCCACTCATATCTCTTAAGTTAAATAATGCACAATTATAATAATTTAAGGATCAGAATGGGTAAATTTTTAACTGAGTATCAGAACAAGTGAGAAAGGCAATTGCTATAGTCTAAAAATCCATGTAATATGAGGTGGGTATTGCATTCTCTGGCTGTAGCATCTGGGAGAGGATCATCAGTTTGTTTCCTCAGTGACTAGTGGAGCCAAAAAGTCACAGCAGGAACACAGCTGAGGACAGAAGGGAGAAAAAGGGATTTTGAGCCTCACCAAAAGTGATGTCAATTCTTTAGATCAGATTTCCATTCCAAACAACTTGGGCTCATCAGAATGGTGGAAGTCTTATCTGCTGTGGTAGCAAATATGAGGTTAAGCTGCAGTTTCTATAATGGGCTCCCTTCCTCATACAGTTCTCATTACAGCACTACCTGAACACCTTCTAGCGGTGCCTGTTCTGTTACAGGCTCTTCTTCTCAGAGAGTGTCGTTGCATTGTCAGAGAATCTCCTCATACTGTAATAAGTGACGTGACCGGCATTTGTCATATTATCTGTTCTCTTGTTGCCAGGGGCAGGAACATGTGCAGTTGAATGTTTTCAGTGTATTTTATCCATCTTTTCTTCATTATGCGTGTTACGTATTTACATTAGTGAAACAAGGTCAATGTAATGTGTTCTGTTCTTTGATCAAAATGCAGTTAGGTTTCTGATGTCCCTTAGCTCCTAGCCACATTCATTCCATAGACTTGCACCAGCCCCGAGAAAGTTCTGTATCTAGAAATGATAGCTTTCCCCACCTTGTTGCAGAAGTTCTCTTATGTCAGAAAAGGGAAACTGTTGACAATGGGGTCCAGTCTAGAGACCCAGCAGATATTTCTTTAGGAATCCTGGATTTAGGCCCTGGAGGATCTTGAGACCCTGAATTTGTAATTTAAAATTCTAGAGAAAATCAGTATAGAGTGGAAGAGAGAGATTTATATTAACCCACATTGCTGAGATGACATCCCCCCAGCTTCCTGGACTTGGAGTTCCCTGTATACAGCAGACTTTGTGCTTGGATATACTGAATTGCCTAGGTCCAGTTGAGAGGTAGCAAAGCCAAAGCAAGGTACTTATCTGCCAAAGTGTCACGGAAGCTCATAGCTAGTCAGGGATGATTAGAAAACTGGAGGCTGTCTTCTGACTCAGGCACAAATTATCTTGCTATGTGTTTCTAAGATTTATTTTACAACTGTGAGGATTAGAGGAATTTGTTGTAATGAAAACTGGCACTGTGTCATTGCCATGCAACTTTATTTAGATTCTTTGGCTTGCCTTGTTACTTGCATGTTATTCCATTACTGTCATCTGGTCCAGTTCCTAGGTAAGTTAGACCAGTTGGAGGGCACCAAGATACACCCACATGTTGTACTTACAATTTTTCAACAATTGCACATCTACGTATTATTTTGGTGTTCTGTGTTTGTATGGCATATGGACGTACAGCCAGTGGGAATTCAAAAATTTTTTCTATTTATTTTTCTAATTTGAGCCCTGCCTTGCCCCTGATGCTCGTCCAGCCTTCTAGATCCCTGTTGTAGATTCATCTAAGTCTCCCTTCAGACCTCTTCTGTAAATCTGGTATCAGTTGAAGTTTAAAGTTTCAGTTTAATATCCTAATAACTGTAGTTGAATGTCCTCTTCTATGTATGAGTTTTCTACTTCCTTCTGTAGCCATTCAGTCTCTGATTTGCCCTGACAAACAGAGGATTTGGAGTTCATTACTTCTGCAATTTCAGTCTGCTAGCAATGATAGAGGTTGTAAGCTAGAAAGGACTGAAGTAAACAGCATTTGCTATTGTACAGTGAAAACAGATTTCTGAATTTGCTGGTGTAGACCTGATCTAGGGATGCTTCTGTAGGCAGTAAGGACTGCAAGAAGTATGTGGTGGCTTAGGACTTGCATCTACTTTATTAGATTTCCTGTAAACTTCCAGATTAAAAAAAAAAAAAACTAGCTTTTTTTTTTTCAGCCTCTAACATGTTCAACATAGCATAAAGACTAATGCTGGAGTCGAAAGGTTGGATTTACTATATTTCATTCAGATCTTATAATATTGACTCTAACATAGCTATAGGCCTGACTCATAGTAATGAACTGAGGATTTAGGAAAGATTTGTTATTAAACTTAGGTTCTATGGTAAAGTTTTGCTAAAATGGCCTTACTGTAACTTCTGAATGTTTTAATATTTTTGTGGATTTAATGGTTGTGAAAAGTGCTGGCTTAGTATCTGTGAAAACTGAAGCCCATTCTTTATTCATGGATTAATTACAGCAGAGCAGTTGCCAAGTGATCTTCTCTACAGCACCCATGAACTTCAGCCTTGAACTGAAGAAGACTCATCAAATGGTGAGAAAATAGTGTGGTTGTTGTGACTATTAAGTTATTGAGGGGATGCTCTATTATTTTTTTCTTCCTAACATTGATTCTGTTATTTAATAGGTACTGAAGTTAGATTTTTGTAGGGTAATTGCTGGGACCATAACCTTACTATCCCCCAGTATTTCAGCTGTTAATTTCTCAAGCTTTGCTATCTTCTTAGCTGTCCTTGACATTTCAAAAATAATTGTTAGTGATACACTGAATTCATTAGCTAATTTCTTTATTACTTGCTTTAGCCTTAGTCCTGGGCATGAGTCCTGTTCACATGAGTAGTTTTATCAGAAACACTACTTAGAGGAGTGAAGTTCAGATGTGTGAAATTGTTTGGAAGATTGAAGCTTAAGCTTTGCAGATAGGTATGCCTGCATTTAAATGAAATGCTACTGAAATGAATGCATGAGCGAGGGATCTGGAAATGCTTTAGCTAGTAGTAATTTGTTTGCTTTTATGCTGTTCAATTTATTCCTTTTAAGACAGCTTGTTGTAAGCTGTTCATTTGCTTCTCTAGTTTCCTAGTTTCTGGGAAATTTTGAAATCTGAGCTTCAAAACATTTATAAAATTTTAGTAATGCTCATAATTCTCATGAGAAGAACAAAACATTATTTTATTTAACCATTTTATGACAAGGTGACTGGATCTATAGAGGAACTAATTCTAGCTCTAACTCACTGCTTTAATCAGGTCTTTAATCTTACTCTAGCGCCCTTCCTTCACTAAGTAATGATTCTTGTATGTATGGATTTATTAAGCATACATCTTAAAAACAGGGAGTTTCCTTTTTCACAGCTATAGATAAAGGATGGAAGCAGGGGATTGACTCTGTGTGTAAGAATATATTTGTTGAGTGTTGATATTGGCTTCCTGGTCATTTAGATAGGTGACAGCTTAAAATAGTGGTGCACAGAATGGTCCGTAGTTCGGGAAACAGATCACAATGGTAAGAAGTTCACAGGATGCTGAGAGATGCCCCAGACCTTTTTTGGTATCTCAGAAAGTGGCTCAATTTCTGTGTTCCTTTTGTAACTGTATTGTAGAGTAAGGAGTAAAAGGGACAGAACCCTACTTGCAGCTTATGATTTGCACATTTTCTCCTATCTCTATGGTTGTTACCATTGGAATATGGGATATTAACCCTCTCACAGCTATTTACCAAACTGGGTTGGGAAGTGCAAGTGTGTTTTAAATGGGCAGGAGAGATGGTGAGCCCTTTATATGAATAACTGAACTACACCCTGTGTTAAGAATTACTTTAGTACTGTTATCAACCACTGAACTAATTTAACTTTTGCCAGGGTTATTTACCATTTTGTGTACTGAAAATAAGATTTGATACTTAAGCCAGAAATAAGTAGTAGTTTTCAGGCTGAGTGAGATATAACCCAGAGGTAATTTATTTTTAATACAGATTGAACAATCTGTTTCTTTTGTCTTTCTCAGCCATTTTTTCTTTAGTTTTCTTTTTGAGGCCTGATTATTGAATTAACTTCAAGCACTTAATAATTTACATTCTGCTTCATCAAACAATTAATCTTGTACTAAAGTCACAATACTTGCATGAGTATGGCTTTTGAGAGAAGAGTTTGAATCCACATTAGTCCCTTGCTCCTTGTACTTGACCTTGCCTATCTGATAACCAATAGGCTGGATCCAGACCAGTGCCAAAGTGTGAGTCTGCGTGTTAGCAGGATGGGGAGTTGGGGCTAAGATTTGAATGCATGCTCATTACTACAGACACAGTGAATGATTACAGGATGATTTAAATTTATTTTCAAATTTAAGCCTTCTTTAGTTGTTTAGCTGAGCAGAGTTTAGATGTCCATATGCTTAAAGTTAGATGGTACAGGTTAAGTGGCTTAAAGGTTTTCCTAAAGCATTTCTGGAGTTGATGTAATTCTTTTACTTCAGTAGAAGAAGAGATAGGCCAACGTCAAACAGTTTTGAAACACCCATTCTCATTGCTTTGCTAAGAAAAGAATTTTGTTTCTTTTATTCCATCCCCTTTTTGGTTAAGTCCCTTTCACTTCCCTGACTCTTCTTATACCCATTGTTTCCTGCTCTAACCTTTCCTCTAATGTCCGGTTTTCTATTAACTTTTCCACACTGACTATTCTTTGTCTCTCTTCTTTTTACTGGAGTTTTGGAGAGGTCATTATACTTTTTCAGCTTCTTTCCTTCTTTCATCAGTTCCTGGACTCCAAAAACAAATAAACCCCTCTGATTTCAACTATGCCTTTTTGGTGAGAAACACACAAGTCAGAATGCAGTGCTAGATCAATAGAAAGGGTAAGCAGAGCGCTGTGAATACAATTTATAAAAAAGGGAACTGGGACTTGCATATCATTAAAAATTATTCCCTAAATTGGGATATCAGGATCTAGATCCAGGCAGTAGGATCAGGATTTTAAGGTGATTCTTTAAAAATCACTAAGCTTATTCTAAAAAAAAAAAGAAAACCCTACCAAAAAACCCATAAAAGAAAAGTCCAGGTATACTGAATAGGTTCATTAGACTTCATGTCACTGTTCTTTTATTGAGCTATGTATCACTGAACTTCTCTTAAGCCTTAGGAGAGACGGCATGGAATTGGAAGAGAAGCAGGGATCTCCATGAAGGACAGTCAACTACAGTCTTGGTAAGTTCAAAAAAATAAACATAAAATTTTATTTCTGTTAAATTTTCACCTTCATGAAGTGACATATATTTAAGGCCCTGTTCACAGTGGCAAAACAAAGCCTGTTTTATTGAAACAGTCTCTACATTCTCTGGGTTCATTTATGCTATCACCACGTAAAAATCTGTGTTCTGTTATAGCTGAGTTTGTGGTGTAACTCCTGAATGAAAACAGTAAGTGACATAAAATTCATTAGTTATTTTCACAGTGATTATGCTAGTGTTTTCACGCCCAGTTTCTGAACAAAACAAGATATATAGGATTGTGTTGCCTCCTAATAACTTTTGAATTCACCACTTAATTTCAGCTGCATTTGATACAGAGATAGAGATCACAAAGTCAAGTTCCTACAATTTGAGTGAAATTTAGCAGCTGGGAGTAGAGAAAGGACTCAAAGTAGTCCCCCTGAGGTAGAAAAAGCTGCAGCATGGACTCAGAAATTTTCTGTTCTGTTCAACCTGTTGACTTGCCAGTCAGCATACTTGGTTGGTCTGCCAGTCAACGCATGTGTAGCTCAGACCTAGCCACAATGTGAGCTGCCTCTTGTTCTCCTAGAAGTCAGAAGCTGGTGTTTTCTGCAGGAATTTAGGGAAATCTGTTTAGAAGGGAATGGGAAACCAGCCAGGTTAGTGTCAGCCTGGGATTACTGCACAAGTGTGTTGGTGGCACGTACAAGCACGCTGATAGGTAACTAGACTTCATTACTTCTGCTAGTCATGAAAAAAACCCCTTGTTTTTGCCAGGGCCTTCTAGTCTCCGAAACCACTTGTGAATCATTCCATTTTATGGTAGTTTCTATACCTGGATTAGATGCATGTTTTTCCTGTCCACGACAGAGAAGTGAACTGTTGAGACAGCTTCAGTATTTCATTTCTTTGACTGTTTGGATGTCAGCTCTGAGCTATTCCTTAGGCTGTCAAAATTGTAAAACTGTGTTTTCAGCTTTCCCGAGAAACTAACTGTAATTTAGACTGCAGCTATGTGTCCCTTACTCATCCTACAACCTATGCTCTTGGAGCAGTGCAGGAAACATGTATTGTATTCCAATTAACTTCCTTTGTGAAGAGAGATGTGGAGCTAGGCACAGAGACAGAAGACAATATTAGGACCTGGCTGCATCAAGTTACCACATTGCATTGCAACTTGGGAAATGCTAAATCTGTAGCTGCATGATTATGGGCACCACAATTGTCCTGAAAGGTATGGTCTGTCCATTCTTCTCAGTCAGTGAGAAATGGGCAGATTACACCTGCCAGAGGTACTGGTTCGCCCACTTTGCATGGTCAGGTAGGCAGCACTAACTTGGCAGATGTCTGATAGTTTTCACATAAACATAAATTTTAAAAGCAGTAACATGAGGAGAAACACTTCCAATTCAATATTGTAAGACAACTGCCTTGAAATTTGTCATGAAGTCTGAAATGTGTATTTTAAATTCTTTTGCTTGTCCTCCTGTCTGGTTGAAAACCATCAACCTGGCAGCAAGGAATGAAAAACTGTGATACTCTTCTCTATTTTCTGCTTATTCTCATGTCTGTTGTTTCACAAAATCAAAGCCAGTAAGAGAACAACTGGTTGTTAAAAAAAAAAGACAAGACTGCATTCCATTTATATGGAACTTTTGGTTCTTCTGTTAGATTCTCAAATCCTTTCATTTGGTCCCAGCTTTTTTTTTTTTTTTTGTTAGAAAAATATCATCGTTTCCCTAATGCTATTTGTATTAAAGAAATGAAGAAATGTCTTCTGTTTCTAGGATCTAGGGGTTGCTCTTATATTCTTTATCACCAGTACTCTTGCGTAGTGTCACCAGTTAAATGTTATTTCATGGAACCCATGTCTAACCTGTTTTTAAGTGGTTTATAATACATTAAAACATTGTAACTTACAATATTTTCCTTTTAAAGATGAACATAGATGTGTTTTTAGTAAGAACAGTAAGGTCAAATTATGGATGTTAAGTTTTGTGTGAACAGCAAAGTGGCAGTGTATTCTTGTTTAACATTATGCTGTGTGCTTCCTGTGTTTTAAATGGCATTCACTAAGAGCTTAAACTTAGCAAATAATTAATTATAGTTGATTTTCATATGGATTTTTTTGTTTAAAAAAGCTGACCCTTTTTAGTCTAAAAATGACTAATACTACACTACTTTTCATCACGTGTTTTTGAAGACCTTGGTCTTGGATGCTGCTATATGTGGTTAGATACTTTCATGGTCATGAAGACCTCCATAAATTCACAGGCCTGTGCTGTGTCCCCAGAATGGCTGTTGTGGGACAGATTTTAGGAAGGCTTAAGCACTAAAAAGCAACTTGCATCACAGACCAAAGAAACTAGGATAATTAATTTTTAGAGAACAATAATTAAAAATTTGTATTTCAAATACGTATCAGTAAAAGCTCCCATAATGTGCTGTCGCTACGCTTAAAATCCATAAGCAATTTTAAGCCAACATTCTTTACAGAAGGAGCTAAAAATTCCTATGATAATATGCAACTTAAAGATGTATGAAACTCCTTTATTATGTGCTAAATGCTGTAATAAAACAGGCTATCAGTAGGTTTTGCTGCATGTTACTAATTTTATTTTTTTTCATCCTGATATTTTTGCAGGTGTGTGGAGGAACAGGTCCTGTTCTCGCTGTTGTTACTCCCACATAGGCGGACTCTGTAATTGATTATGTGTGGGTAGGGCCCTATTGAAATTAAGGAGATTCTGCAATAGTGCAGGGTTCTTTTTGTGAAAGTTCAGTTGCAAGATCAGGACCCTACTGTGACTCCTTACTATGAATTCTGTCACTGTATCATTGATTGTGCTGGAACCTGCCTTTTGGGATAATGTAAGTCCTGCTTTTCCCCCAAATGTACTTTAGACATGAAATAATCATAAAACGTTTCTAATTAGAAAATGAATATAATTTACATGCATTCTTTTAATTATGTTTTTTTGGCAGTACCAAATAATATATTCCTCAAAACTTCTTAATGGCACTGAGGCTTTGTGGATAGTTGGTCACATGATGAGAAAATTCAGCTGTAAGTACACTGAAATGATTGATTTTTTCAATAGTTAGTCTTTACTGATGTTGACAAACTAATAATGATAAAAAGGTGAATCAAGAGGTTTCACTTATGTCAATTGACTTCAGTTCTTTTTAGAAAATATATACGACATATCCGTTAAGGATTTCATTATTATTGGGTAATTCACCATGTGAACCTGGAATCCTTCCATACCGCTATTAAGTAGAGAGTTTTAATATGGGTTTTTTTTCTTTATTTTCAGAATAGTATGTCTCTGACTTGCTCTGTATTTTCACTCATAAACTTTCTGAAATCTATAATCTATGAAAACTGTTTATAACACCAATATTTGCGTAGATATTGCAAACCGATTTACTAACATAATTGTCTTGCTGAGTTGAACATTGAAATGTTAATAAATATACGCTTATACTTGTGTCAGTGTAACTTGGTTAAATTAAACTAAACTGAGCTGGCATTACGAGTGAATTTGATCATGCATGCTGATTAGCTATAGTCTTAGGCAGGAACTACGTGTTTTATTGTACCTAAGTACTTTGTGCTTAATCAATAATAATTACCCGTATCACATGTCAGTGGATTCGCCCAAAATAGCTATAAATATCTATGCTTGGATTAAGGAGGAAGTTCTTTTCCTGTAGCTATGGGTACAGTCATTGCTATGACTCCTATTTTTATATACAAGTGAGCAAAAACTACGTATAGGTGTTTTCCTTGTATAACAAAAGGGGTATTATAAACTCCATGCCCTTTGTTATGATTCCATATTTCCTTTCTCTAATTCAAATAAAAGAATGTTTTCAATGGGGTCTTAGTATCTGAAAAATGGAAGAACTGGAACTGTTACTGAATTTCTGAATAATTATTAAGGGGCTGTGAAGGTCTAGAGGAGTCGTATGTAAGGACAATTAGAGATTCTTTCCCATGGAGCAAGGACACAGATAATAATTGGTGAGTAAAGATTAAGGAGGACAGGATTATTTTTTTGCTTGGCACAAGAGCAGCATGAAATGGAAGTAATTTGAAGAAAGAGCAAGACCGAAGAAGAAATCATAAACTCAGATCAAGAGCAGACTAGAGAGTCCAATTAAAAAAAAAAAAAAACCAAACAAAAACAAACCCCAGAAAATGGATGGCAAAAATATGCCTGAAAGGAGGACTAAATGCATAGCTACTGGTATTTCTCATTGCACTGAATATATGGTAGATTTAAGTTTAAAACTTTCAGTAAGTGTTTTTCTCTATTTTTTTTTTTCTATTGGGGGGGAATATGTGGGCTTTGAAGAAGACTCAGTGACTAGGTGTGCATTACCTGTGTAAATCGGGGATTCCAACATGACAGTTAAAACTAAGAACAGAGGACAATGTTTGCTAAACTGCAATTACTGCTAAGCCATAGTTTCTTGTTCAAACACAAAACTTAATGATTTTGAAATGTATCATCTTCAACAGTGCTCAAAACACAATTTAATTATCTTCTTTACAATTTCAAAGTTCTAGTTTAAAAGCTTAACAGTGAGTCTTTTGAGATTTTGCAATACAAAATGAAATGGAGATTTTTTTCAATGTGAAATGAAAACAATACTTGAGAACACCGGATGTTTCATCTTGCATAAAACCCCCTTGATTTTGTTTTTAAAATGTTTAGACCTAATGGTTTACTGTTTTCACCTTTTAATCCTATTGGCCGTATTTATTCTTACTTGCACTAAGTTGGGTAAAAGAAAGAAATGGAGAGGGAGATTAGGTGACTGCAGAAAAACCCCAAACATGGCCCCCTAGCCATGCCTGCCCTGCCCCAAACCAGATCAAAAGTCGTCCTCAGAATAGATCTAGTTTTGGAGGAGAAAAGGGAGGAAAGTGACATGCTAGTGAGCGGGGTATGAGGAGTCCCCTGGATGTTTCGTATGTATCTGATTTTTTCACTCATCACCACTGAGAGGCAGATCACCTAGGTGTGACTGCTTCTCCTTCCTGTGATGGCAACTTCCCAGTACTTTGAGGGAGATAATGTCGGGGCACAGCTCTGTTCTGCCTGTGGTAGTGCTGCTACAAATATCATCCGGAAGAAAAGGAACTCTGAATTGTCTCCTGCTGTAACCAGCCCTCCACTGCTCACTGCTGCTAACCCCCACTGTTGAGCACCTGATGTGATTATTTCTTTGGTTTAACCCATGCCATGATGCTGTAAATGACTGAAACTAGGAGAATAGCAAGAAAGCAGAAATCAAGAGGAGCAGTCAATGTTGTGGAATGTAGGGAGTGGGCATTTGCTACACAGCTACAGATTGTGTGGGCTTGGGAATACTTCAAGAGCTGGAATACTGAACAACAGCAACAGAAAGTACGTTTCCTGCAGTTGCAAACTGAGGTGATAGCCCTGGTTCTGTGCAGTAAGAAGGAGGAGCAAAGGAATGTGCCTGAACATTGAGCATGTCAGTTGTTGTAAGTTTAAGTTGTGAGATCTTTTTCTCTGCTGCTGTTTGTGCTTGGCTTGTATCATGACTGTCCTGTCTTCAAGCTGGATGTAGCATGGTTTTGTTTGTGTCGAATGAGGCACCCATCATAACGTCACAAACATTGTTTTTCTTCAACCCTTGAAAGTCAAAACATGGTAGCATAGATAGCTGTAATAAGTTAGTAATAAATGTGATATGAAAGAATTTTCTCACTTCACAGTATTTATAGGAAAAACAATGTTTTATGTGTTTCATATATCTCCTCCCATCTTCTTTTCCACTCCTAAGCAGATCTAACGCATGAACATTTTCTTCAATAGTACCCTCGGTTCTTTATTTCCAGTTACAACTATTGGTCTTTTGTTAGTAGGTTTTTTCAAATTTAGGTTGAGGCCCTCACAAGACCTCTGTGCATCCCCTATGAATGACACCATCATGCTGTCGTTTGTTTTACGTCATCAAATCTAGGGTAAATCTGAGTTTTGGGAATCTTTTTCCAACCCTTTAAGGATGGTCTTCTCTGTCAGATGATTATATTTTTTTGTCCAGGTTTTCCACGGATCATCTCTTTATTAGAAAATCCTTTTTCTTTTGCCTTGACAAATGCAGTCTTGCCATGCTCATTATCTAGTCAAAGTGCTACTCTACTCTAAATATCAGTTTCCAAACTTACTCCTTTGGTATTTTCAATTTCCTCCTTCAGTTTAAAGCAATAAAGATAAGCTATCTGTCTTTATTTTCAAGGCCCATCAAGACTCCTTCTACCTGATACCTCTCCTTCAGTATCAAGAGGTTGACTCTGATTTTGATCAACATATGATGCCAGCTTCCATCATTTGGTCTTTGTATTTTCAGACCACACTGGATATTTTCTCCTCAGCTGCCTCTCATGTATTGGTTGACTTCTTCATAAACAGAACTGTTTACTGTCTTCCTTCAAATATCTTCTTAAAAGTTTTATGTACTGTGAAGCTTGAAACAATCCAACTAGACAACAGTTATATTGCAGGTATATTAATGCCAACAGTTATCACAGTAGTACTGTGTCATTGCATTTGTAGTCTGCCGTAATTTCTCTGTTGTCCCTTTATGTAGAATTCAAGCACATCTAATTTTTGTTGTGTGTTTATTCATGGCCCAGCATAATGAGAAGTGGTCCAGGGTGAGGGCTCCCAAGATTTACGGTAATACAAATAAATAATAATGAATACCAACTGGATGCTGCACTATAGCTGTTGGATTCTGCTGTGCCTAATGTCACATCGTATTTAATGCAGAAGGAAGGTGCTCCAGCTAGAGGCCTCACAAAAAGGGAAAGAAGTGAGTTGCAGCCCCAGAGGCCGCCTCAACTGTCAAACCCAAGTCAATAGCTACTGGCATTGTGTCCTGAAAGCATGCCTCTCTTCTCTTCTTCACAGCAGTAAGAACAGACTCTCCCTCCTCATAGAAGGAAGTAAATGCAAATATTAGAAAGTTCTGCAGTGTGTGGAAAAGGTTAAAGGACTTTTTATATTTCCATAGTGTCCTGCTCCTTAGTACATTCCCTTCCTGACACAGCATCTCTTGGTACAGAAATCTTGAATAACTGCAAGCAGTTGTTCCAGCCATGCTTAGGCAGTCCTTTTTCAAATGCCATCTGATCTCTGTTGAAAAAGAACCTACACTAGTTTTGATTTGGTATCTTGGTACATTGCTATCTCATAGTGCTCCGTTTCCATTGTGCCTTTGAAGGTAATGATTCTTCAGAAGAGTGGTAAGCATGAATTCCACCAGGAATTCCTCAGGTATGTCTCCCTCTTTCTGGAAGTGGGTCTGCATGTATATTCCTTTTCTTTCAAAGGGACACTGAAATGTCAGTGTATAGATTATACAAAGATGATAGAGTGTTTAGTGCCTAGCTGATACAGAGATGATAGATTGGACTATGCAGACAAATGGCACTATATAGACCAAAGAAAATAGTCAAATAAGTTAATTCTATCAGAATAAACCAGAAAACGTAATTACAAATGGTTCTATATCTGAATAGGAGAAGTCTAGTGAGAGCTCTGGACTACTTGATGGGATGGAGGCAATGACTGTGAAATACTGTGGAAGACTGGAGAGGCTATACAATCTGAAAACTTGATCATAACAAGAGTTCTCAGTTATCTATATATAGGCTGGATAAACTTAACATGAGGCCACATTAGGCCATCATCCACAGGCTGTATTTTTAGGTATGGTCAAGAACTACTTTTTGAGCAAACCAGCTAGAGAATTCAGAAGAGGGGGGAAGCCCTTGATTTAGTCTAGATTGGCACAAAAGAAGTGACTCTAGAAGAGCCATTCAGTAGTGATATATCATACTCAAGTTTCTCATACTTGTAGGAGAGAAAAAGATCAAGCAAAAAAACCTCCAGCATTGTTGAAAAAAAGAAGAATTGCATACCAATGAAATACAGTTTAAATACATAGTAAAAGAGACATGGAGACTTTGATTTCTGATTCTAAACCATTGAATAAGAATTGTCCAACACAACTGAACAGTAAAGGAAGTTCCTAGAAATAAATAGAGGTTTTTCAAAAAGTGAAATCCAAGCAAGCAAAGCAGACAGGAGCACAATTCTGGCAAGTTCAATGTAGACCTATTATAAGACAGAACAAAAAGATTTTGAAATGCAACAGGCTAAAATCCTAAAAGCCAACCCCCTTTTTTTTTTCAAGTGGAGGTGAGTTCCATAGATAATTGTGGATAAAGAGAATATTTAAAGACAAAGCCATCGCAGAAAGAAACAGATGAACTCTATGTGTTTGCAAGGTTTGTTACAGAGTCTAGGGACATCCCCACATAGAAGTTGTTCTTTATAGGGAATATTTCAGATTTGAAATATCAATAAAATATTTTTTAACAAATTGATTGAATAACTTTAACAGATTGCCAGATAGCATGTTGTTGATTTAGTAGCCCTAGAGAAATTCAGAAATGAAATTGGTGAGCCATGAGCTATGTTGTATATAATCTATCGCTTAAATTAGCCTTGATAACAGAGGAATGGAAAGTAAAAAATGTGACACTAGTTTTAAAAAGGGCTCTAGGGATGATTGTGGACTAATGGAGTAATAAGTCTGACTACCATGACAGACAAAATGCCAGTGAATGTTAACATAATTAATAGGAACATGGATAGGTGTAATAGGCAACCATCACTTTGGCTTTTGTACGAGGTAGTTTTGTCTTAGTCCTCTGCTAGTTATTGAAGGAGTCAACAGATACACAGGAAAGGGTGACCCAAAGGTTTTAAAAAGCTCCATAACCAAAGACTGTTAACAAAATGAAGTGTTGAGTTACTTGGAATTATTTGTAGATTAATAAAGGGTTACAAGATAAGGAACAGTATAGCAACTAATGGACAGTTTTAACAATGGCACCTCACAAAGTTTTGTACTGGCATCTTTGCTGGACCACCTGTTCCTAAATGGTCTGAAAAAGTGCAGTGATAAAGATTGCAGGTGATAAAAGGAAAATATTCAGTTAGAGTCAGACCTAATGTTGACCCTGAGAAGTTGCAGAAGGATCTCACAGCAGGCCCTGTGGTGATCCAGGAGCCATGGCTGTCACAGAGGCCAGATATGGTTGACCCCGCTGTTCAGCCGTATCGATCAGCAGGGAGAGGCAGCGGCTGTTGTGACCAGTCCTGCCGCTCAGGAAGGCAGGGACTTGTAGCTGTTCCTTCTAACCACAGCAGGGGCTGCAAGTTGAAGAGAAGATTCTTCCTCCCTATTTCTCAGGATTTCACAGCCCCGACAAGCCTGAAGTACAGGTTTTGATCCTGGAGTTATTGCCTGTCACAGGGGTGGAATATCACCGTTAAGCGGATAGGTAGTATCTTGCTGCTGTGAGAAGTCAGGGCTCTCAAGGTATCTTGCTGGTGTTTGCATGGATTTTTAGCAGCTCCTGCTAATTTCCTGAAATCATTCTGGATGGATTTGATGCTAGCACAAAGTGGCAAAATGGTATTTGAAACAGAGAAGTGGCACTGGCATGCTGGTCAGTTTTGAGCATTGATGAGAACTGTATGTGGTATAGAAAAGAATGAGTAAGGTATGGCATAGCTCTTCTGCAGGGATAGTAAATGGGTCAGGATTCCTCAGTTTGGAAGAGTGTTGACTGAGGAGTAGGTAATGTGAGAAAGGTCTCTAAAACCGTGAATACATGCAAGTGTTTAATAGGGGACTATAATTCCCTGTTTCTCATAATAGAAGAACAAGGGGCCTTTAGTCACCGTTTTCTTTAATTCAGGTGATCTTCAAGATGGCAAAAGCCTGCTTAGCACCAGTTTTATCTGCCACAGTTTTGTGGATACATCTTTTCAAGTGCACAAACCCCAGCTGTTTACTGGTCTTGAAGACTCCACTCGTCCTGAACCAGCTGTGGCCAAAATCCAACCTGTGCAGAATTACAGCTTTTCCATAAATAAAAGTTTGTAGTCCTCATTGATTGATGATAAACTTTCAAACATGAATCAAATGTAAACTGGTCCCATTTTGCTAAATCTGCAGATTTTTTTTTAACCTCTACTTCTGTTTGTTCCTTTATCTGGCAGTAGCAATATTATGGATGGGCAGATCAGTGTTACTTCTGTTGTTTACAAACCTGTGGGCAATGGAGAATGCCAGTTTGCTGCTACTTCAGACAGCTAAAAGCAGTAGCAGGCCCTAAAATTAATCTCAGGGGAAATCAGATAAAGACACAGAAATGTTTCACACAGCAACCAGGAGGTCTGGAGGGAGGGGTGGAGTAGAAGACATCATTGTACCTTTGAAACAGCTGGAACGGTTTCCAAGCTGTGGTCCACAAACCCCTGGTGGACTACAAGGCTATGGTAAGTTGAACAGCTGTTTGGCTAAACCATAGTTAACAGTGTTTTAAATAGTGTTTCCAATTAAAAGCTTGATCAGATGGGTGTGTGGTGGTTTTTGAAAAATGTTAAGGGCTGATAACAATCTGTTGTTTCAAAAATATGGGAACCACTGTTCTGGAATGTGTGAAAAGGTAGAGAGCACTCCCCACTTTCTTGGCTTTAGATGGGTTGCATGCCTCTCCACCAGAAGCAACAGCAGGGGTTCCCCGAAAAGAGCCAGGAAGAGCAGTCTGGTGGCATTGACCCTTCTGTCCCCACCACGCCCTCCCCACTAAGAGAGTTGCAGGGTTCTTAATCATTGCGTTGTCCTGGAGTATCACTAAAAGTCTTTGCTACCCCTGCTTTTCATATATACTCATGACTAGCAGATTTAGTTTTCTGACAAATGAGTGTAATTTTTCAAGTCTTGGGTCCTCATCAGACAAAGATTAAACTTGTCAACTCTGCTAGATTAAAATATGTATCTGTCTTTGAATTAATACCTGGTTTCTCATTGCCAGAAAAACAGATTTTAAAATTTTCTATTCTGTCATTATTAACAGACATAAGCTTTCCTTATGAGTATTGGCATGTCTTATTACAATATCTGTTTATTAATTTTAATAAAACCCCAATTCTATTTGACCAACTTCTTCTAATTCATGTTAGCTCCCTGAATGGTAATTTCATATTGTAAAAATCTTTGTCCTCATACCAGGTCTCTTACTATTTTTTTTTCCTACTGAAATCATAACCTATTTGTATTAGCCATACTTGTGGTTGCCCTTGACATAGGTTACTTCCCATTGTCCTGAGTGCCATACAAGCACACCCATAAGTACTTTGTAGAGATGATGTCTTTCCCAACATACTGCACATCTTTATGTTAAGGATTATGGTGATGCTGAATTTGAGAAATGCCAAATTGTAAGCCTTATTCAAATGGTATAAATATGTTTATCCTGTGGAAATCAGTTGTCTAATCTAAAATTACTGTAGTGTATTTTGTGGATTTTAAAAAAAATACCAGAAACAAACATTATTGACAATAGTGTTTTAAAAGGAACTAAAAAAAGTTGGCAGGTGAGCTCTGTATAACCTTTTTTTGTTCCCTTTTTCTTACTCGTGTATTTTGATACATATATGAAAAATCAGGGGGGTTTTGTATTATCTTGCTAAATACCTGTTGCTGACTTATATGATTCTGAAGTTGTCTTTGCTCAGGCTTAAGCTACTAGCTGAATATGAGAGTGAGGGGAATCTTCGCCTTGTATCAGAAAGGAACATGTAAAGGAGGAGAGAGTAACTTCTGCTGTAATGTAGAAAAAGGTAATTTCTTGATGTCATCTGTGAACTACATGAGAGAGGGATTCATGAGCCTAGGCAGGGCATATGGGTACAGAAGCAGTGATGGGTCTATGCGAAGGAAGAATTTGGAATAGGGATCAGAACAGGGTTTCTGTAAGAGCTGGAGAGATCACAGTTGGATAAATATATTTGGGTCAGTTGGAAGTCACTTTACCACAGAACATGGCTACAGCTCTCCATCTGAGTCTAGCTCACTCCAGTGCCCGCATGTGCCCCTTTTAAGTGGAAAACCTTTCCTGCTTACTTCAGGAACAGTTACATGCAAAGGTACAAATGGTTCCACAAATCCCTCCCATCTAATGCTTCTCTTCTATTCCACTATACTTTCTTCTGCCTCCTGCCTGTAGGGTGAACCGCAGGTGCAGACAGACAAATGAAACATAGAATCATTTAGGTTGGAAAAGACCCTTAAGATCAAGTTCAACCATATACCTAACACTACCATGTCCACCACTAAACCATGTCCCTAAGCACCACATCTACATGTCTGTCAAATACTCTGGGCAGCCCATTCCAGTGCTTGACAACCCTTTCGGTGAAAAATTTTTTCCTAATATCCAATCTAAGCCTGCCTTGGCACAACTTGAGGCCATTTCCTCACATCCTATCACTTGTTACTTGGGAGAGGAGACCAACCCCCGCCTCACTACAGCCTCCTGTCAGGCAGTTGTAGAGGGCGATCAGGTCTCCCCTCAGCCTCCTCTTCTCCAGGCTGAACAACCCCAGTTCCCTCAGCCGCTCCTCATCAGACTGGTGCTCCAGACCCCTCACCAGCTTGGTTGCTCTCCTCTGGACATGTTCCAGCAATGCAACGTCTTTCCTGTAGTGAGGGGCCCCAAACTGAACACAGTATTTGAGGTGCAGCCTCACCCGTGCCGAGTAAAAAGGGACTCAGATGTGATATGCTGTGGAAGTGCTGGGTGCAAAATAATAATGCCTCTCCTTTCCAATGTACAGTTTGCATCTTCTCCAAGTGGGACATGTCCCATCATTTGAAATCTGCTGATCACAGATGAATTCTTTTGTTCTTTTTCCCCTCTTCATGTAGTACTCATTAGAATGTGAGAATTTTTTTCCACATGATTAATTATGATTTTTTAGATAATATTTGTCTTACTAAACAGCAGAAAAAATCTCAGATTTCTAAAGCCTGGTCCCTTTGATTTGCATTTTTCTGTGATCAATGACCTTCCTAAAAATAAAGAAATTAATTAATCCAGTGGGTGATTGCATCTACTGGTGATAAGTTGAAGTTTACTGATAGAATGGTTGCTTTTCTTAATTACTATTTTGCAGTTCTCTTAGAAGTTGTTCACGAAGACTAAAGAGTCTAAATAGGTTAGATAGCAAGATCACCGTAATAATAATAAAATAAAGCATACTTTTTTTTTTTTTTTTTTTTTTTTTGTAGAGGGTACATTTTAATGGAAAACTGTTTTGGTGTTGCTTTCTTGGGCAGATTTTTATAGTGGATATAGAGATCACTCTTTTAGTTAGTCAGTGTTGGTTCCTAAAAATTGGCTTTACTCTTGCTGCTTGTCAAATGTCATTTCATCTTTAAAGACTGCAGGAGTTCACGATCACTGAGAGGTAACACCTTGACATTTTGGCACCATCCTCTATGAAGTAACTTACACTGAGCTGATTTTCTGTTACAATGTCAGTGAAACGTCAAATGTTGATACTATGTGTGAAACAACATTTGATATAATGGCTATTAAGTTACTTGAAAAAAATCTTGTTAAGATGGATTTTGTGTTTAGAAGAGCTGGCATCTAAAAATGTGTATCATGGATACAGGTAATAAATGTTGTTTATTAATTGCTACAGGAGAAAAATATTTACATTTGTGTACAATATGCTAATCTTAACTCTAGCTATTTTTATCTCCTAAATATCTTATCATAAGCTGGTTATAAAGTGTTTAAAGACATGAATCATTTCATTTGTTGAAGCATTCAGTGCATCATTTAAAATGGCTACTAAAGGAGAGAAGTGGACATGCGCTTCTCATAATAGCTAAGCATAAAAATAAGGTATCAGAGATAATAATATAGTTCCAAATCAGTAAAAATCGTTGTTGTGTTTTGCTGTGTGAGCAGAGCTCTTCACAGAATGGTGATCTCATTCTAAGATTACAGTTATCTAAATAGATTTTCATTGCTAAACTTTATTCTGGTGATTTTATATCTTTGTTGGAAATGAGAGGACACAAACACTGAAGTTTAAAGTCATTGATCTTCAGCCATGCTAAAGGCTTTCAGGACTTGGTATTTCACCCCAGGGTTGGATCCATAGCCCTTTTAAATTTTGGAATTTCAGAAATTGTGCAGGTGAGTCGGAAAGAGCAGATGTGAAAGGAAGAAGCTTAAATGGAGAGGAAGAAATTATTTTCATTTACAAGAAGGAAGGGAAAGATGAAAAAAAATGTAATGAGCATAGGAGAAATAATAGGGTGAAAAGGGAGGCATCAGGTAAGTATTTACGCTACTATATTGCATTTAGTGCTCAGACATGTTATGCTTTATGCTTGCATGGAAAACAGATTGAGTCTTCAGCTTTCTGACTAACTGCTGTGCTGAGCTGTGCTTTATGCTCTGTGCGTTTTTCCTTTAGCACAGTTACTTCTAAGGAAGGCTTTAAATTGACTTTCAGACCCCACCTGAATCACAAAATGCATTATCCTACTAGAAAATGATGACCGCCCCAAAGTTCTGTCTTCCAAATTTAGCTCTTAAAAAAGCCACTACTAGACATCAAAGAATCAGAGCCAGTTTTATATATATATATATATTTGTTGTTAAGCCTATTCACTAGCATTTGGGGCAGGGCAAAGGCAGATGGGCAGGCAATAACACTTAAGAGTGGCAAAATCTGTGTGCAAAACCTAATTGTAATAATGCTGAAATTGAAAATTGAAACTGCTAATTAATCGTTATTCAACAGGACTAGGCAAAGTCAATTAATTCATAACCAGATGTAGCTGTAGAACAATGGATTACTTACATTGGCTTTTATTACAGGTTAGACATCAGTGTGTGGATTTCATCCGTAAGCTGTAATAAAATAAAATAAATTAGGAAATTGGCAAAAAAAGTTTAATTCACTAATTTGTTCATTTATGTGCTTAGTTACTGCATGATTCCCATGAGTATATATAGTATTATAGCAGGGTAAAGGTTTAGGGAAATGATGTACTTTTTAAACTGAGCAATTAACTAATATTTGTGTAGCGACTGTTACTGGTCTTCATGAATTACCATGCTAAAAACTTGTTTATCTTTAAATACAGAGATAGGGACCTCCATTTTTCTTATATTCGCTTTGTGGTATGCATAGTGCCTTAACTGTCCACCTGAGCAACACTTCAGCAGAACTGAGCCCCGAGCTGATATACAGCAGAGTAGCATCCCCTCTAAAACTGCCCCGTTGCTGACTGGGGACAGAAAGAGTGAAAATGGGTGGAGCAGGGAGAGGCCTTATGGTGCCAATTCACAAATAATTTTAAGTGGTAACATCTGCTTTTTGCAAGGTAGTGTATTAATTTTGCGGATAGAGGTAGGTCTGCGTAAGAATTATGCTCTAAATTGCTGTGTGATAGGGTTCCCTTTCTGGTGCAGTGTCTGTGTCACTGGGCAGCAGTTTTTAAGGGCACCCAGTGAAGATATGAATACTGAAAGACTGACATAGCTGTAATCTTTATGTTCATTCTAAAAGGAAAATGAAATTAAATGCAGATACGACTTTAGAAGTTCTAAACAAGAGACTTCATGCTCTATTTTGTAATTAGCCCTTACTGTTACCTTGTTTTGCATTAGTGTTACACTAGTTTATGTCACATGACTCTAGAATTCCTTAGATTATAGATGTAGATTATAGATAAATTCTTCAGTTGCAAAATCACATTTCAAGTGGACCAATATTCAGATTTTAAATATGTCTTTTTTAACTGCATTGTAACTGACAACTCTGTGTTGTCCTCATGTAGTAGGCAGCATCAGGCTGACTGTAGTCTGAAATAGTTCTTAATGGAAGACCATTGTACGTGTAGGTCTCCAGTGAGGTATGAATATCACAGTCCCAGGATTATGTCTCTCAGACTTCCCAGCCTAACAAGGAAGTGCAGAATGTGAAGTGTCCCTTTGGTCTATATTCCAGCCCACAGATCAGTGCCCAGGAGGAAAGCTCCCTTTCCTATCCTCTTCTTTGGTTATTTATGCCTTGGTACTGAAGTTCTGTAAGAGCAGTCTTGTTTTTGCATCTGGGGCTGGCGAGCTGGTGAAGGTGGTGTGAAGAGGTTGTCCCCACAGACCTGCTCCACACTGAAGCTTCCTGCACAGAGACTTTAAAACCAGCCCTTCACCCACGACTCTTGTATTAAATTATAGTTCATTTAACATAACCATCATAATGTAAGTATCCGCGACCATCACATAGGACTTCAGCATTTCTTCACAACAGTATTTACTGTATTTAGTAACAAATTACTGGCATATCAGCAGTGCCATTTTAAGTATCAGTTAAATGTGGTATTGCCTGAATCAGGTCTTAATGCTGGGAATATAGAAGCCCATTGATGTCAAGCTTTCATTTTTACTCAGAGCAGATAAACTTAAAGCCCCAGTAGTACATAATTAGCCCTAATAGAAAAGCAAACTTTCTTTTATTTGGGTCAGACTTCATTTTTGTGCTTGGTATAGTGAACACGAGTAATGTTCAGTAATAAAAAAATATTATGCAGCACAAACCTATTACATGTTCTGTGCAGATGAAAGTCATTAGTAAGTTTTCTTTGTTCAGAGTAAAGGAAGTTGAAAGTGTGCTGTTTCTCATATTATTTTAATCCAAATGTTGTTATCCATAAGTATTCAGCTTAAAGACGTGCTGCTACGTTCACAAATACCTAGTGAATTTCACAGAATTAATTACATTTCAAATATGTGATTCAGAGTCTAAGATTCAGACCTTAGGATGGGATGAATCGCCCTCTGGAGGTGCCCGCTTCAGTCTACTGACTTCAGAGGAACCCTGCTTTGAACTGCCTAGCTCAAACTAAAATTTGAGTGGCCTGTCACCTTAAGAGAGGAATAGCTGAACATTTCATACCATACTAGGTCTTTTCTGTAGACCTCTTTCTTTTTAAGAATGCCTGCCTTATTCCTCACCTCTTCTGTCAGTGTTCTTCATGTACTGTTTCTAAAATGAATAAGGACAATTGTTACTGTTGCTATTTCCTGTGTATTTTGTTTTTTCCTGTCCTTTTCAATCTTGTTATCTTATCTTTTCCTGTTGGTTTTTTTTTTCTTTTTCCTGACTCTTTTTAGCTACCATCTCTTCTGAAGCTTTTCACTTGCTACCTCTCTGACCATCCTACCTTCCGTGTTGAGAGTATTGTCCTAACTTCTGATGTGGAAGATTGCTGACCCTTTCCTTTGAAGCTGATACCAGTATTTTCTGAGAGAGATAGTACTGTAGTGAAGACATAGAAAAAGAAGAATATGGCACTTGTGAATTTTTATGGTTTTAAAGAGTCAAGAACTATTATTCTTCTGCTTTCATATAAAATGTGCTGGTTTCCTAATGTACTTGTAATTTAAAGATGTTTGTAGAAATGTAAAATCAAATGTGAAGAGCATAAAATCCATATTAAAGACATTTAAATTTAACAAAACATAGCATTAGTCTTTATTTTAAAAATTGAGTCCTACATGGCTCATCTGAAACAAATGGGATAGATTTTATTAAAAAGTTGTGTACTGGTAAAGTCTGACTTATTAAAAGGTGAAATTATTTTCTTCCTCCCTATGGTAATATTTTCTTGATTTATACCTATTAATGATCTCTACTTCTCCTGAGTTCTCTGTCTTCTCCCTTTTTTTGTTCCTTTAGTTAACCTAAGTTTCCTGTTCCTTTCTGCACTGGACTCTCCTAACTCTTTTGGTTCAATACCAATCCATTTTTCTCTCCTGTATGCATCCATTTGCCTAAAATATTGCCTTAAGCATGGTCATATATATTCAAGAATATATTTACTTCTAAACACTGGGTGGATCTGCTATTTTAGGACTTTCAATAAACCAGATAAGAAACTTAACAGTTCAGTGACAGCATTTTAAGGTTTTTTTAATGACACGTGCCTTCATAGGATCAAAGTACCTTGCCTCCTACATCACTGGCATGATAATTGTGGACAGAGATAAACATTCCTGTAAAACTATAGGCTTGTGGTACTTGTTCAATATAGGAATGCTAACTTAAAAAGAGCATCTGAATGAAAGCAAACATGCTGCATTCATAAACAGTATGGCAGAAGTTTTCAGATTTTATTTGCAGATAAAGAGAAATGCTAATGGTGTGCTTTGTATTGATAGTAATACAAGCAGTTAAAGTTTAAAAAAAAAAGACATCTAAAAGATGTACATCCATAAAATCAGAAGAATTTTTGCAAATCATGCTTTGTTATATCAGAAATATTAAATAAAAGTTAATGTTTTCTGAGAGGTAGATACCTACATATTTTATTGTCTGTACTAAATGTTCTTTAGATCATCTGAATTCTTTGGATTGCAATAAGAGGAATGCCATGTACATGATAAAACATAAATAGTGAAGTTCAGAACTTTTCAGTGTAGGTGTGTAAAATATGATTCTGAAGCCTTTTCTGATACTTACAGTAATTTGCAATAACAGTAATAATAGCAACTTACTAGAAAATTATTGGAGGTGTGGCTGAGAATGTCATCTATGGTGCCTAAAAGTTTTTAACTAGTGTAGTTATAAGCAGGACTTTGCATCATTCTGAGCCCGTTAAAAAGCCACCTTCTTTGCCAGATTCATTTACTGAGCATGAGGATGACATTACAGACAAGGATTAGAAAGCAGAGGAAATCTGGAATCTCTAAAACAGTTACACTGATGATGAGGTTTTGTGCTGTCCAGTAGTAGCAGTGAGTTTTTTGTTAGAATGAATCAACTGCAACTAATTTTGTAAAAATGAACCATATGAAAATTATCCATAGGAAAAGAAAGGAAGAAGATGAAAAACTATGCAAAACCTGTGAGGATTTTCTGGGGTATATCCTCAAACGATATAAATTGGCATGCATAAAGTTAAGTCACTGCTGCTTACTGAAGATTTGTCTTTTCTATTAAACTATATAATACAATACAGATCCTGAAATAGTCCCTTACTTAATACTTGTATTCATTTTACATTAGAGTAGTTATGGAATAAGGTCTTACTCATCATGAGAAATAATACAGTTCTAACAATGGCATATTATTGTTAGAAGGAAATACATCAAACTGGCTTGAATTAGCACAGTTTTAGAAAATTACTTTGGTTTTGAGAGACTACTGTATCGGTATCGCTTGTTAAGTTACAAAACTATTGCTTGTTTAATAGTACTACTAATCTAAAATTTAGAGTTGTAGTTTGAAGATAAAATTATTTTTATACTCAAGCTTATGTATTTTTGATTAGCAATTTTTGGGTGATAATGTCTCAGATAAAACAACTAGTTAAAATGTCTACCTGTCTTTTTAATATATGAAGAACAGTGAGGAAAGCATAGCTGGAAATACTAACAAAACAGGAAAGATTTTTCAGCAAATGAGTAGGTGTAACCATAGGGAAACACTTGCAAGAGGAGAATAAAGTTGAGTGAATATTGCTGCATTGAGATGTGAAAACATACTTCATCTATAAAGTCCGGCAGGAAATAATAATGAAAAATTAGGTCTTTCTGTTCATAAAGGCATCTTAGGTACATGTGGTCCTGAGAGGTGCAGTACCACTACAAATTCCATGAAATGTTCTTTGATCGCGTTACAAACAAGTCTGGCTAAGACATAAATAGAATATAACTCTCTGTTGCTATATAAGGTAGATAAGGTGAGGGAAGCATAATTTATAAAGCAACCACCCTGCTTGCAGATCCTGCAGTTCACATGGCTGGCAGACACAGAAATAATTTCACAAATTAAAATGGATGATGCAAAATCCATGAAGATTGTGTTGGAGGTTTGTTTCATTTGATTTCCTCTAGGATTATGA